ATCATCTCAGTCTGTAAGTCTGTTTCTGCTTTGTAAGTCCATTTGATACACAATGGAATATTAATCAGTCATGAAAAGGAAGAAATACTGCCATTTGTGACAATATGGGTAGACCTTGAGGGTATTATGTTAAATGAAATAAGTTAGAGAAAGGCAAATACTGCATTATCTCACACATATATGGAATCTAGAAAAGCTGAGGCAGAGAATACATTGGTGGTTCCTGGGGGCTGGAGGGTGGGGGGAAGGCGGAGATGGTGATCTAAGGAACAAACTGCCAATTAGAAGATGAATAAGTTCTGGAGATTAATGTACACCATCATGATTATAGTGTTGCATGACACTATAATCATGCAACACTGTGTTGTATTCAAAGTTGCTAAGAGATTAGACCTTAAATGTTCTCACCACCAAAAAGAAATGATAATTATGTGAAGTGATGGAGATGTTAGCTACAACTATGGTGGTCACCATGTAGCGATACATTCATGTATCAAATCAACTCATCCTACACCCTAAATGTACACAATGTGGTATCTTTGTCTGGTTTTGGTATCAGGGTGATGGTAACCTCATAGAATGAGTTTGGGAGTGTTCCTTCCTCTGCAGTTTTTAAAAACAGTTTCAGAAGGCTAGGTGTTAACTCTTCCTTAAACGTTTGCTAGAACTCGCCTATGAAGTCATCTGGTTCTGGACTTTTGTTTGTTGGGAGTTTTTAAATCACAGTTTCTTAAACTTAAACAATGTAATATGTCAGTGATACCAGAGTAAAACAAGTATTTTTCTGCATCTTCTCTTACTTTTCTCTCTCCATTACTGAGTGCCTACCATGTGTATTATAAATATAAATTACTACCTTAATGTCATTTTGCTCAAGATCTGGTGTGTTCAGGGTTTGTTGCTGGGGGTGGGTGCGTGGGGAGCAGGCTGTACAGAGGGTGGGATGAGGGAAGGTATGTTCAGTGTGGTTTTCTGTATGGAATGGCTGACCAGGTGTGATGACCCAAAGCTTTGAGAACCCCCAGACGTTAGCCCCAACCTCAGGTGCTCTAAAGGGTAACTGCTTCTGTATATGGAGCTGGGAGAGTGTGTGAGGTTCAGATTATGGAAAAGCATGTCTCTCTTTAAAGCAGAATGTGACTGCTCTTGTTGGAAAAATCAAACTGGAAATACATGTTGTGATCATGTGGCCCCAAGCCACACTCACAGGGCAGACTGTGTTGAACTCCCTGCTTGACGACCCTGGCTGGTTGCCCAGGGGGATGCTCTGTCCTGGACCCTTGCTGCCCTTCCTGGGGTCTCCAGGAAGGACAGGAGACCAGTTCAACCCCATTCACTTTTAAGAGCTTCCCCTAATGAAAAGAATATAGCACACCAGCCGAATATCAGCAGCAACAGTGTGGCACATGCTTACTGTTCATAAAGTCACATTATTGTTACATAAGTCTGCCTTGAAACTCTTGTAATGTAGGAGAGGAAATGTCTTAAAAGACCAGAGAGAATCACGTATCATGATAGCTTGCCTATTTCTGTGAAAGAGTATTATTTTAATTCAAATATAAAGCAGTAAGTGTTTATTTAAAACATCTCCCTCTGTCCACACCCACTGACCCTCTGGCTTCTATGTGCTGGGTCACCACTGCAAATGACATATTTTGTGTCCTTCCTGACCACGTGTGTGTGTGTGTGTGTGTGTGTGTGTGTGTGTGTGTGTGTGTGTATCTGCATGAGCATGTCCATTGATGATGATGCACTGTTTATGCTTATCCAGGTTTTTGTGTCACCAGATTGAAGTCTGTCTAGCTGCAATGTGGCAATGCTTTCAAGAGATCTTGGATGCTTAGCATAGGAAGTAAAAAGAAATCTCATCCTTAAACACATAAAATTGCATTTGTATATTTCACAGGCGGCCAGATCTCCACTAATCCTTGGTCATATCACCAGGGGCTCCCTAGGGCCCCTTGGAGCTGAGCCCATCTTCCTGACTCTCCCACATGGCAGTAGACATTTTTGTGGACCTTTCTCAGTGGTTTCTTTTTGCTCATATGAGGAATGGGCAAGATATGGAGGAGAAAAGATTAGTAGTCTAGTTTACTAAACATCTGAACCATTTAAAATGGGCTGACAAAAATCAAAGACAGAATGTGGACTGTTGTGGGGGAAGTTAATAGCTATTAACTGCAGTTGACAAAAATAAAGAATTGTTTTTCAGACAAAGGAAAGTTTAGGAAATTTAAATCTATTGTGAATGTTCAAAATAATGAGCAAAGGCGAAATCTATGACACATCCTACTGAACACAGATGTAAATGTGACCTGTGTGCACAAGGGAAATGGTTAAAATTAGAGCAGAGCCATTTCCTGATTAACATAGATGAGTGCATGCTTTCAAAAACTAGTAGGTCCTATGAGAAGGCAGATTTTCTATGGAAGGAAACCAGTAGAAGAAAATATATTAATAATAGCACTGACATCATCATGACAGAGAAAAGGAAAACTCTGTGTTTATGTGTGTGTGTGAGACAGAGAAGAGGGGTAAGAAGGAAATACGGAAAGTATGACAGAAGTAGAATTAAGGGCATAGAATCTTATTATGTGCTAAAATGACTTTTTTTTAAAAGAACAAATCCACGATATAGACAAACTTTGAAAAGTGATATTAGAGTTCTAAAGGCTTTACTTAGAATCTATGACAACATTTAGTTCTTAAACTGTTTGCTTATTTTTCTATGACTGTAAGGACAATATATCATAATGTTGACTTGGATGATGAAGGGTGACATCACCAGCTGTCCTGTACACAAATCTGGTATTTTATGCTTTTCACCATTCCCCATGACAAGTTCCATCTTCCTACCCCTAACCCCCTGCAGCTGCAGCCAAGCCTGGAGTCTTACCATCCAGACAGGGCTCAGGACTTAGGACAAGGCTCCTAGAGCCCAAGGTGGAGCAGATGATGTCAGCTCTGTGGGGTTTTCATTGACTGCTTCCTGTTTTTGGCTGTTCTCCCACACAGGGCCTCTGGCTAAAGCCTCTCCAATTCTAAATGGAACAACACAAGACACCCCCACCCCAGGCCCCCTTCACTTCCTTCTCTGATAGGCTAGTCAGATTTGGCAAACACTACAGATGTCACAGATAATTCTGTAGTGTAAGTAGATCCCATGAAAGATTTGGGATATACTGACACTACAAAATGATTCACTATTGATTTGAAATTCACATGTAACTGGCAACTTGGATTTTACCTGGTGACCTTATTATCTGAACTCTGGGAACCCCTAGCGTACCTGGGAAGGGTCTTAGGAAGGTCAGGATAGGGTATTTGGGGTGAGACACACGACACAAAGAGTAAATACATTGTCTATTAAAGGACAAGACACAAAATCCTCTTAGTTCATCTGAAAACAGTCATTCCTGGAGACCTTGTCACGTTACCCACAACACTGCTCCTGGGTGGGGGGGGGGGGTTCCCTTTTCCTTCCCTCCACCCTTCTGGGCAAGGATCTGAATTTTGCGTATTTAAGGAGCAAATGCAGCACAGAAGAGTAGCTGGCAAGTGATGAATCTACTGTACAGAGAACAGATCAGACAGGTCTCCGGGGAGATGGTTGGGGAGGGGGCGGGGAAACAGGGAAACACCAAAGACGAAGCTAGAGACGCAGTCACACCTTCAAGCTACACTTATTGCACAGATGTAAACGTGCACAAATATGCCCGTGAATGAATTTAAAAATGTGTTCATTTCCTGAACCAACTTTATTTAACTTATTAACCTTGTCTGTGGCTGTTTGTGCAGAATCTCCTAGTGAGCAAGAACGCACACCTGCTGTCTCTGGTGGGAATCAGCCACCCAGGGCCAGAGGTGCTGGGATACAGTGGGTCAGCTGAGCCACGGTGCTGTCTAGAAGCATCTCTTCCCTAATACTGAGATCCTAATTTGCCTTGGTCCAGAAGGAACACCTGTTGTTTAACCTCTAATGGCTTTCTTGCAAGTAAGATGAGAACCTATTAGTTCTCAAGCCAGCAAAAGTTCTAAGCTGAATGATAATTGCTGACGTTTGAGGCACCTAGAATGAAAACTGAATAGTTTAGCATAGATTTTTCCTTCTGGTTAATTCATCATTTATCTTGACTCAATGTGATGATCTTTTTTATCAAACTAGTCTTTATTGGAATAATGCTGAATTCTACCAAAGTTAAGACTAGTTATGATGGAGAGGATTTTCTTCTTGGACCCAAATGTTATTTTAAAAAAAGCATCCTGAAACCCTCCAAAACAATACATACACTGTCACACACAATCCATGGCTATATTCCTACATAGGTCTAGTGTCATGGAAACCAGCTAAGCTCTTCTGTGCCTCTCTGACAAAAATCTGATCAAAAGACAGTGTAGTGGCATAAATCTAAACTCAGTTTAGAGTGAAAAGGAGGTGCTGGGTGCATATAGTCAGGAGGTGTAAAATAAAATGAAATAAATCTGCCTTTGGTTATAATGAAAGAAAACATTAGTTGTGCAGTCAGTGTTACTGCAACATCCATTTCTTATTTTCTCACAGTGATAGTTCAGGTCTTTTGGGAGAGTCATTTTGTGTGTATCTTGGGATTTTAAAAGCTTTCCAGCTCTGCGATGCTCAACAATCAGGGTGTCTGATTCGTGGAGAGGGTCATAGCCCTGAACGGGAAGGTTTGTTGATGGAGAGCAGGAGTTGGGTGGGATGAGAGTGCTGGTCCTAGGATGCTGTTTGGGCATCTTGGGAACATCTCCCTCCCTGTGCTGTCCCGAGTAGCAGTTTCCTCTGGTAATACCAGAGACGCAGATGGAGGAAGAAGGGGGTGCCTGACTGTGGCCGGAGGCTGGGATGCCTCGCGGGAAGTGGGTGGGGTTTGGTGACCGGAGACCGTGTGACACCCGCGAGAGGACCACGGGCAGCGTCTGGGGACGGGGAGGCGCCGCCTGCGGGGGAGGGGTGCGCGGGGCCGGCTCTGCACACTCACCCGTGCTGCTCTGGATGGTCCTCACGGTGGTGGTGGTGCGCGGCGGGGAGGAGGACCGCAGCGACACGCACTCGTCGTCCTGGGAACAGCCCTTCTCGATGGCGCGCACGTAGCTGTGGCTCCGCATGCGGAAGCAGCCAGGCATCGGCAGGTCCAGGGCCTCCACCGCCTGCGACTCCAGCTCGCTGAACACCGACTCGCACACCGACTCGAACTGCCCGTTCACCTCCATCTCGCTTACCTGCGGGGCCAGATGGGACGTTAGCCAGCGCTCTTCCTGGGGAGAAGCCAACTTGCCCTCCGAGCATCTCCAAACCGCATCCCCCAGAGGAACGCCCCATCAGATAGCATTGAATTCGAACGCGTTTTAGCTCCTCAGCAAAAAAATCAGACCAGTCAACCCTAAAGGAAATTAACCCTGACTGTGACGAAGCTCCCATACTTGGCCGCCTGATGCGAAGAGCTGACTCACTGGAAAAACTGATGCTGGGAAAGACTGTGGGCAGGAGGTGAAGAGGACGACAGAGGGGGAGATGGTTGGATGGCATCACTGACTCCATGGACTTGAGTTTGAGTAAGCTCCGGGAGTTGGTGATGGACAGGGAAGCCTGACGTGCTGCAGTCCATGGGGTCACAAAGAGACACACCTGAGCCACTGAACAGCAGTCTCCTTACAGACTAATGGGGTGGTATCTGGCTTATAGTCAATTAAACTCTAAAGAAAGAGAACTTTGTTTTTAGAATGCAAGGAAGTGTGGTGTTCCAAATCATTCCTCCAGCTCACGCTGAGATGCTAATTTTCCTTTATCCCTTCTCCAGAAGATATAAATGCAAACCTAGGGGCCAATGTTACTGCCCATGGTCAGAGTTCAATGGGGCAGTTTTTGGCACAAATGTTTTAGAAGCTAGTATTTTTATTGTGCCTTGGAAGTGACTAGTTTGTCAAATAATTTGTGTCAATTGGAGTGTAATTTAGTGCAAAGTCTAGAAACAGGCCCTATATTTTCTGGCAAGATATATACATTCTGCACAAAAATAGGTCAACCCAGATATGTCAGTCTTGAAAGACACTATTATTGAGATTTTCAAACTATATACATACTATCTAAAAAAAGGTTCATTCTTCTCTATAAAAAGCTGATATGGTCCACAAATTTTTAAAATCTTCCAAATAAATTCTTCTCCTTTTTGAGGAATCAGTGTTTATTTACTTATATTCCTCTGTATATAACTTACACTGGATTTTTTTTTTTTCTTCTTACACTGGATTTGAACACCATATTAAAAAAAAAAAAGCCAGACCAAGTTGTTTAATCGCTCAGTTGTGTCCAACTTTCTTGCCACCCCACAGACTGCAGGCCTCCAGGCTTCTCTGCCCATTGGATTTCCCAGGCAAGAACACTGGAGTGGGCTGTCATTGTCTCCAGGGGATCAAACTGTGTCTCTTACATCTCCTGCTTTGGCAGTTGGATTCTTTACCACTAGCACCACCTGAGAAGCCCCATATTATATTTATTTGTATATCTTTATTCCATACTAAATATCTTGGTTTTCAAGGACACAGAAGATGATAGAATTGGGATATTCAACAATGATTCATTTGGTTTCTTCCACAGTATATACACAACAGCCTCAGAATAGCAAACTAATACCACTTCTGCACATACCACTATTAAAAACAGTTCACAGTTCCTTCCTTTTGCATGTGCTCTCTCTGTTCGTTCCTCATTTAAAAATAGTTGTGCTATAGAATGAGGCCAGGCTCCACCTTTGCAGTACCAGGTGCTACTGCCAGTTCTGACAACCTTAAAAACTTGAACTTCACTTCTGGGGGAGTAATCTGAAATGTAGATTTGAGAATTACTGGTTGGGGAGAAATAGCATTTAAAGTTGGAAGTTGTGTGTGCAAGATTGTGTATGAGTATTTTTGTATTAAAAAAATTTAAAGGCAAAAGAAAAAATTGTTGTGCTATTTTGATATTATCAGAGCACATCACGTACATGTTCTTTCCCACTGTAGCTCTCATTAGTCCTAGTTTTACAAATGACTATATAGTTAATGTTTCTCACTACTTTTTTCCTACAAAAAGGTGATTCTTTATCCAGCCTAGACACACATATAGGTCAAGTAGCTCTAGATGGCTTATAAAGACAAAGAGCGAGCCCCCAACCCTCCCCCAATTCTTCCTCCCCAGAAGAACCATTTTCAATTCTTCCAGGTAAATCTTACGGTATTTGCATCCATATTGCCAGACACATGATTATGTGAGTCTCCTGATATGTTCAGAGACCTCTGATAACCTCTTGGTTTCCTTCCTGCCCTTGAAACGTCTGTCTGGGTGCCTCCTACCACAATCTATGGCTGCTAAGTCCACTGTTGTGCTGGGCTCTCCCTTCCCCATCATTCTGGGGGTGCCTTTCATCATCTAACTGGTGGTGGTGCCCCAGTTCCCCTTCCCCTGTTTTATTCCCTCTTTTCAGTGGAGCACAGTGCTTTCTTGGGAAGGCGGCCCCCTTCACATCGTTGGAAATGTCTGTACCACCTCCACCGTTAAGGGAGAGCATGCTTGCATTTAGAGTTTTATCTGCATCCCTCCTTCTTTCAAGTATTTCTCGGCTTCTCTCCTTGTCTCTTAGCCTCCGTATGTGCTAGAGACTGAGAAAACAGATGTTTTTCTCATCTCTGAGCATTTCTGTGTGCGCTGGTTTGCCCCATCCCTTCTGGAAGCTTTTTAGGGTTTTGTTTTGTTTTTTTTTGGTCCTGAGTGATCTAATGTTTCACCATGGCATTCCCTGTAGGGATCTTTCTCCATTCATTATACTAGGTACTGGGTGGGCCCTCTCAACCTGCAGATTCATATTTTTCAGTTCTGGGACCATTTCTGGGACCATCATTTCATTAGTAATTGCCTTCCTTCTGTTTCACTGGTCAGATTTTAAATTCATTTGGATTTATTTTTTTATCTGGTTTAATGCCATGAGTGGAACTATAGAGAAGGCTGAGCACTGAAGAATTGATGCTTTCAAACTGTGATGTTTGATAAGACTCTTGAGAGTCCCTTGGACAGTAAGGAGATCAAACCAGTCAATCCCAAAGGAAATCAACCCTGAATATTCATTGGAAGGACTGGTGCTGAAGCTGAAGCTCCAATCCTTTGGCGACCTGATGCGAAGAGCTGACTCACTGGAAAAGAACCTGATGCTGGGAATGATTGAAGGCAGGAGGAGAAGGGAACGATGGAGGATGAGGTGGTTGGATGGCATTACTGACTCAATGGACATGAGTCTGAGCGAACTCCAGGAGATAGTGAAGGACAGGGAAGCTTGGCGTGCTTCAGTTCATGGGGTTGCAAAGAATTGGACATGACTTAGCAATTGAACAACAACAATGCTGTTTCTACTATATCATGGGCAATTCACTTGAATTCTCTGAGCCTCACTTTTCTCATCTGTAAAATGGGTACAGTAATACCTACCTCACAGGGATGCTTTTAAGGAGAAAAATAAAATATACAAGTGAACCTTACTAGGCACATAGTAGGCATTCCACAAGTACTAGATATTATTTTATGAGAGTGTGGTGGGAAGAATGAGAAAAATTACTCTAATTCTCTGAAGTTCATAAATTAAAAAATGATCTTTCTTATGCACGTGTACATGTCCGTAGTCTGCCAGGCTCCTCTGTCATGGGATTTTCCAGGCAAGAATATTGGAGTGGGTTGCCATTTCCTTCTCCAGGGGATCTTCCAGACCTATGGATCGAACCCACGTCTTCTGCATTGGCAGGCACATTCTTTACGACTGAGCTACCTAGGAAGCCAATCTTTCTTACAGTTGATATGAAATTAATGAGATAATATGCAAAGCTTATAGCATATGTCAGGTAAGTGATATATAGTAACTATTTCACTGTTCTCATTTCCATTATCACTACTGCTATTATTGGCAATATTATTCCCACTAATAACTCAATTCCAGCAGATAATGAAGAAACTTATGAGTTAGGAGTCAGGACACCTAGGTGTTCTAGGTTCTGTCACTGACTAGCTGTGTGCTCATAGATGCTTAATTCATCTCAGTTTACATTTCTGGTACATATACAAGGAGGGGATGGTTTAGGTCAAAAGTCACCACTAACCTGCTAGTATTACCATCGAGTACAATAACTGCCCTATTACATTTACATTTTTAAAATGGTGTACAAACCCAAACATCACTGGACAAAATATATCTGTGGGCTTCTAGTTTATCATTCTAGGTGAAGATGTTTGATTTGGACTTGAAATAAATTGAGAAGTAAATTAAGCTAATTTGGAAATGAGAGTTATTATGCCAAATATTTTTAAAAATGTGACCTCAAATTCTTCTCAAGTCTTCCTTTAAAAGCCCCCATTTTTTAGATGTGTATATAGGGAAAAAAAATAGAAAGGGAATAAACATATAAAAAGATGTTTGGTTTTCCTTATAATCCAAGCACAATCTGTTTTTATGGATATTTTATTTCTATAAGGTATGCACGGCAGAAACAATTTAGTTATTCTATACCAACTTCTTAACTTACAGCATTTTACTTTGACCTTTATAGGAGCCTTTGATGAATAATATATCAGGTTTTAAGAAGGAATAGGATATAATGCACTTAAATTCTATACTAGTAGAGCTGCTACTGAAGATCTGTAAGAGATATCTCCAACATCACAACAACCAACTACTTTTTGAAAAGCCTAGAATATATATAGTAGGGTTACTTAGAAGAAGAAATCAATTCTCTTTGAATAATGACAATTCTGGGACAGTGACAGAAAATTTGAAATCATCCTTCCTGATATTCTGTTCCTTGAAAAATGAATATGATACTAGAAAAATGGTGTGTCATTAGGAATCCATTTAGGATGGCTCTGCTTCCTGTATTTTACTTAAGGTGAAATGATCACACCACTGAATCGCAGACTTGACCTCCCCAGATCAGGGCCCACACGTGCCTCTTTAGTGATTTGTCGACATTGTACTAAATTGTCACCATAAAGTACACTGTCTCAAGGAAGGTCAGATCTGTGGCGCAGAGACTAAAAGCAGGCAGCTGCATAAGCGTGCGTCCTGATAGAGAAGCTCTCCTGTTTTAACGATGTGAAATTATGAAAGCAGTGGGTGTGTATAAACATTTTCAGCAAAATATTCTAAACCCGTGGATGTATTCTTCAGGTGTGACACCTGAGATTTATAGACTATTTTACAATTCTGGAAGGCTATGTGACCATGAGCCTGTCCAGAATAAAGATAAGTTTGAAGAAGTTTTAAAAATTATATTGTTTATATTGAAAAAAGTAAGAACAAAGCAAAGTTCAAATTTCACCAAATGAGACACCAAATATTTACCTAAGAGTTGGGATAGTGAGCCTCTCTGGACAGCAGTAGCTGGCACAAATAGATGTGTACTCTTGGAGATTTCTTTAAGGAAATGTACAGTGGGCAAACATTGGAATCCAATACGCCAACTTTTCCTGACTTCCACCCTACCCTGATATTGGAGCCTTGCTGTGGTCGGGACAAAATGGGAGGAGTGGTCCTATTTCAGGGTCTTACTCTGATAGATCAGATATGCTTCAGGGCTTAGCCTACTATTCAACACCACCACCTTTACCATCTTCACCACTACCAGCATCATTAGCATCATCTTTACCACCACCATCATGACCACCACCCTGATCACACTCCTCACCACCATTACCAGCACCATCTCCATCAACACTATCGCCACTATCAACAGCACGAGCACCACCACCAGTAATATTAATTCTCACCTTGAGGATCACAAAGTCTTTCAAACTAGCCTCTGTCTCTTCAGGCTCTTTCTCATTCTCTCCAATTTTCCTACAATTAATTTTTTTTTGGGAGGCTGGATTAACTATCCTTCATCAAAGTTCTGATCATCTGTTTTGCCGGCATAAAAGCTGAAGTTTTAATTAATCTTCAACCAGTCCCCCTCCTAATGAATAAGATCCAGTCCCCTGGGCCCTGCATGGAAAGCGGTGCATGAAAGATGCCTCCAAGATAAAATTCAGAACAGACTGCCCATTGCTGCGGCTACAAGTATTCTGAATTCCAACCACACGCTATTGCTTGCATGTGCTTTGGGGCTTCCAATGTGGTGCTAGCGGTAACTGCTTTAGGCCAGCATTTTTCAAAGTTCAGATATATACTACTTTAATAAATACTTCTTTATTAATACATTACTTATTAGAATCACCTGGAATATCTGTTAAAATGTACATTCCTAGACCCCTATGCCTAGAAGCTCTCTCTTTAGAATCCTGGGCACTGAGCACTTTTTATTTTTTTATTCTCTTGGGGATCTCATTGACAGTTTCATGTCCACAAAGTCCCATTTAACTTTTGGTTACTTACATATCTTACAGAGTGTTTATAAGGATTAATATTATGAACCGGTAAAGCAGTTGGCACGGTGCCTGACCCAGTAAAGTTGGCTCTTATGGCTAATTCTTGTCCCACCTACCTCAGTGTTTTTCTGGTGTTCAAGTGAATAACGTTTGTTATTTACTTTATTTTTTGGTATGACCTCCATTAAACTGTAAATTTTGGGGCAGCAGGAATGAGGCATTATTCACCACTGAGTAACTTGCAAAATCTAGCCCAGTGTTTTGCTCAATAATATTAGCTGAGTTAACAGTATAGTGCTTTTTAAAATAATTAATTAATTTTTGTCTGCTCTGGGTCTTCTTTGCTGTGCATGGGTTTTCTCTAGTTTTGGCAAGTGGGGGCTACTCTCTAGTTGCAGTGCTTCGGCTTCTCATTGTGGTGGCTTCTCTTGCTGTGGAGCACAGACTCTGGGTACTTGAGCTTCCGCAGTTGTGGCTCTCAGGCTCAGCAGTCTGGGCGCATGGGCTTAGCTGCCCTTCAACCAGGGATCAAACCCGTGTCCCCTGCATTGGCAGGTGGATTCTTAACCCTGGACCACCAAGGAAGTCCCAAGTATGGTGCTTATTTTTAAATACTGATAAAAATTAAAATTCAGAACTCCTAAACATTATTTCAGAAAAAAATACCCTTTTTTTGTCCTTCCAGAAGAAGCACCTCTTGGTCCTCTGGTGGCCCCTGAAAGCTGCAGTGTCCGCCCTTTAGGAGTCCTAGGTTTGACCCTCCCTTGGGTTGAGGCAGCCTCACCCCCTCTCATATTCTCTGAGACCATCAGTAGAAGGCACTGAGAAGCTTTAGCTGAGTATTTCAGATGCAGTATTATATCAACTTTACTGAGTCTCCATCCCTAATTCTGGGTACTAGTTCTTAGAAGTAGACTTGTGTCTTAACAACCAAGACACAATATTCTAGGACCCAGCTGGAATAAACAGATTTCATTTCCCAGCCTTTGTCCCTGTTTTGACGACTTGCTTAATACTTTTAGGATTAGACACTGCCTAGGTTTTGCCAATGATGTCCACCCTGTCCTTCTATCCTTCAAATGTCTTTGCAACTGAAGCCTCATCCATCAACTTCTTAATGACAAATGTGCTGGTGCAGGCTGACTGCTGAAGAGTTTCCTCAAGGACTCCCCCCACGTGCTTTACCCCATCTGCCCAAGGACCCCCTGCTGCTGGTAGGGCTGTTGGTCCCCAGAGCCGGCTGTGGCCAATCACAGGCAGCATTCAGCCTAAGGCCTCTGCCTGACCCACCAGCATCACTCGGGGGATGTCAGCCTCCTGGCATCACACCCCCTGGGTTTCCCCGCCCCCCGTGCAGTTCACTGCGCATGGCCGCGGGGCTCACCTGGCTGATGGTGCTCATGGCGCGCATGTAGCTCTCGTTCCGGGAGCGGAACTTCGGGGACGTGAGCAGCCCCGCAGGGTCAAGGCTGTCGAGGCTTCGGTTGATGGAGACCTCACTGACCGCCCTCAGGTAACTGTGACTCCGGATCTGGAGTTTGGGGGAGTGCTCATTGGAAATCCTGGAGGAGAACAACGGAGAGTGTGCGTCGAGTCCTGTTCCACCGAGGAGGCGGGATTAAGACAGGGCAAGTTCCGACTGCCGTGGCCACCCTACATACTAGCGCGAGTAGCGAGTAACACAGATGCCCTCCCGTGGTCGTTACATTCCCCCGTGGGGTCTGGAAAGAAAGCTTTGGATGGGAAATCATTGAGAGCAATTATAATTCCTTCAGCCCATGAAATAATGTCCTCAATCACATTTTCCTAGAGAGCCTAGAGGGCATCGTGTAGCTGCCATGCCTGCCCTAGAATTCTTCCCGGTTGTAATTTGTGAGCTTTCCCTTTGTACTCATTTCTTTTCTATGCCATCTTCTATTTTATTTTTTTATTGTGCTAAAAGTCACATAATATATAAAATGCATTCTTCAACTGTACTTAACTGTTGAGTTCCGTGGCACTAAGTATATTCACATTGTTGTGCAACTCTCACCATCATCCATCTCCCGAATGTTTCACCTTCCTAAACTGAAACTCTGTCCCCAGTAAACACTAACTCCCCATCCCCTGACCCTCCCCCCCTTTACACCCGAAGCCCCTGGCATCTACCAATCTACTTTCTGACTCTATGAATTTGACTATTCTAGGTATCTCACATAGGTGGAATCAAACAGTATTTGCACCTACTGAATATTGGAATGCACTTTTAAGGTTAGCTTAATATATGTCCTACAAACAAGACTGTCTTTTTGGATTTTCTATTAATGGCAGATGGGTGTCTGTCTGTAACTCTATCACTGTCTCTCTCTCGATCCATCTTTCTACCATCCGTTTAATCTTTTCTCATTTAGTTGAGATTTAACAGTGAACAAAACTTAAATTTTAGACGTTAACATGTGCACATCTCTAAATCTTGATATCCAAAGACAAATCTTACATACATTATACTCGTAAGAGTATTTCCCAAGATGCATTTTAAAATTATAAAAGCAGAAACTGCACTTTGCAAAAAGCCACCCTATCCAGAAGTGCACAGAGCAGAAAGTGGGTCTCCCCATCCCCTTGTTCCTGCTCCAGAATTCCACTCTCCTGAAAGAGCTACCCATAGCAACTTGCTGTATAGCCTTCCTTGCCCTTTCTGTACACATAAAAACAATTGTTTTAGTAATTAAAAAATTTTTATTGAAATATAGCTGATTTATAATGTTTTGTTAGTTTCTGGTGTACAGCAAAGTGGTTTAGTTATATATTCTTTTTCTTTAGACACTATTATAAGATATTGAATATAGTTCCTTATGCTATACAGTAGGACCTTGGTTTGTTTTATTTAATCTATTTTATATACAGCAGTTTGTATATTTTAATCCTAAACTCCTAATTTATCCCTCCTCCCCCCTTTCCCCTATGGTAACCATAAGTTTATTTTCTGTGTCTGTGTTTTATAAGTAATTTTTGAAGTTTGTTTTTGTGTGGGATTCAGGGAGATTTTGTTTCTTTCATTATTAAAAAAAATTTGCTATAATATTGTTTGCAATTTAAAAAGTTGATAAGGAAAAAGATGTAGGCCCAATAAGCTTCTATTATTTATAATTTTTCTGGAGATTGTAGCCAATGAAATTAGAAACAAAAAAAGAAGTAGAGAATATAAATATTATGAAGAAAGAGAGAAACTTTGAGTATTTACAGATTATATAATTAATTAGCTAAAAGATAAAATCAACTGAAAACTTTTAGAACTAATAAGAGTGATTCCCCAAATAGTTACATACAGAGTAAAAATAGAGAAATCAATAGTTTTTCTATATACTGCCACAACCAAATAGAAATTTAATTAATTAATTAATTATTTTTTTTGTGTGAAGACTGTCAGTTTAACTAGCCTACATAATGCCACTTTCATGGAAGATATGTTTTCAAATATCTGGCTTACACACAAGCTTTTAAAACACAACACATTCTTAAGCTGAGAACGTCCTATAAATTGTTTCTCAGTCTATTAAAGCAATATTGATTTTTCTCTATTTTTTGTAGATATTCATGTCATTAAAAAAAATCCTGCTGAATAGTATAATAGAGTTTCTAGATCTTTCTCTAGTGTTGTATAGAGGTAATAAATTGTGCAGTTGGACTGTGGTAACACTGTCAGAAGAGAGTGCTTTGCTGGTACCATTTTCATTATTTGCCTTTTGAATTTAGATTCTCTTTTTTGCATGTGCTGTGCTCAGTCACTTCAGTCATGTCTGACTCTTTGCAACCCAATGGACTGTAGCCTGCCAGGCTCCTCTGTCTGTGGGATTCTCCAGGCAAGAATACTGGAGTGGGTTGCCATGACCTTCTCCAAAATAGAAATTTTAATTTAAAAATCCATTCAAAATGATAAACATAATAAGTAGAAGCTATGAAAAAGAGGTGCACCAGAAGTTTTTGAAAAAGTAATAAAATTTTATGCAAGGTAATAAGTCGTAAATAAAAACAATTTTCCTGGATGTTAAACTCAATATTGTAAAAAATTTTAAACTTCCTAAATTAATCTATAAATTTAATATTTGTTCAGTCGCTAAGTGGTGTCCAACTCTTTGTGACCCCATGAACTGCAGCACACCAGGCTCCTCTGTTCTGTCTTGAGGAGTTTGCTCAGACTCATGTCCATTCCTGACCCAGGGATCCAACCAAGGTCTCCTCCATTGCAGGCAGATTCTTGACCATCTGAGCACCAGGGAAGCCCCCGGTACATTTGATACTAAAAGCTGAGGATTTGATTAATGGCCACTTTTTGCAACTACAATGAAGTGAAGTGAAGTTGCTCAGTCATGTCCGACTCTTTGCAACCTCATGGACTGAAGCCTACCGGGCTCTTCTGTCCATGAGATTTTCCAGGCAAGAATACTGGAGTGGGTTGCCATTTCCTTTTCCAGGAGATCTTCCCGACCCAGGGATCGAACCCAGGTTTCCTGCATTGCAGGCAGACGCTTTACCCTCTGAGTCACCAGGGAAGACTACACTGAAGGAGGGGCCAAATTAGAATAGATCTGGAATTTAGCATCAAAAGGAAACCTCTTGTGTATTTTACTAATACAAAAGAGAAACTGTTCTAGCAATGTTCCCTATGGATCCTAAAAGTAGCTGCCAAACATAAAAATACCTCTGCCAGATCAGGCAAGTGTTTTGCATGCATTATGTGCCATTATGGAGAGTCACCATGGACCACTTTATAAATGCTTGTGCCAAAAATCCAGAAAACAAATACACTGAAGAGTAAATTTTCCCATTGAGATCTCTTTTAGGGAAAGAGAGCCTTCGCTAGAAGCATTTACAGCCTAAAGTTCACTTCCACTAGAACTTGAGAAAAGACAAATGTGTTTCTTTGTCTATTTTGTAGCATGACCCAGAGCAAGGGTATTGCCAATATAAATGATGCTGCGTTTCCAAACAGTTATCAGGGCAGCAATGGGGGCAGCTGTTTCATAAATGGTCTACATTCAAATTAAAAAGTGAAAAGCTCAGTGTTTTGAAAAATGAGTGTGTGTCTGTTGGCTGAGATGGAGAAACTCCGGCCACTCGTTATGAAATAAAGCATAATTCCAAACTGGAAAATCATTCAGAAGAGATCAAATAGTTCTACTTTGGTGAGTCATTCCTCACCACACATTCCTCACCACCTCACATGTTGTTTCATCTGATGAAACAACACATACTTTAATGATACATGAAATATAAGGAAATGAGCTTTTTGACCTTGTCCACTTAGAGAGCAGAGCCCACAGCTCTCATTATAAAGGGTACAGTATATATGTGTGCTCCTGATGATGAAACACTCATGAAAGAAACACCAAAAGAGAATGAGTTGATTATCAACTCTAGAGGAAGTTGCTAAGAAGAAAAGGAATGTGCATATTCAGAAACATTAGCTCTTATATTAATGATCGATGTTAACCTATTCAAATGACAGCCATCATATTTCACTTTCTCCCTAAATTGCTTATGCTAAGTTAACCTTTCATGGCTTATCCCAATGGAATTGAGATTTTGGCCTGGTTGAGCCCCATTCGTTATCATGTCCTTTAACTGCACCCAAAGATGGGATGCCCTTAGATGGCAGTGAGACAGCTAGACAAACAAGTTTGGCCAGTGAATCAGTAAGGTTTCCATTGCAAAGAGAAAAAAAGCAATAATACTTGGAAAGCAACATTTAATACATTTTATTTTTTGAATATAGTTTTATTAATTTTAATTGTGTTTATTTTAAAAGATATTTTAATTTTATTGGAGTATAGTTAATTTACCATAATGGGAAAGAATATGAAAAAGAATGCATGTGTGTATGTGTATATATATATATATATACACATATATATACACGAATCACTTTGCTGCACAGCAGAAATTAACACAATATTGTAAATCAACTACACTGCATGTTCTGTGATAACCTATATGAAGTAAGTTGATTTACAATGTTGTGTTAATTTCTGCTGTACAGTAAAATGATTCATACACACACACACGCACACACATATATATAATCCATTTTTTTCATATTCTTTTCCATTATGGTTTATCACAGGATATTGAATATAGTTCCCTGTACTATATAGTAGGACCTTGTTATTTATGCATTCTCTATATAATAGTTTACCTCTGTTAATTTCAAACTTCCAATCCATCCCTCCCCCTGCCCCCCTTTAACTTTGGCAACCACAAGTCTGTTCTCTTTGTCTGAGAACACAAATTTTAAATCAGGGTTCCCAAAGAGAAAATGATTAATCCTGTAATATATCACTAAAATTGTAATGCCACAAGATGAATAAGCTCCAGGGATCTAATGTACAGCACAGTGCATGTGTCCTGTCACTCAGTCGTGTCCGACTCTTTGCGACCCCGTGGACTGTAGCCCGCCAGGCTCCTCTGGCCATGGGATTCTCCAGGCAAGAACACTGGAGTGGGTTGCCATGCCCTCCTCCAGGGGATCTTCCCAACCCAGGGATCGAACCCAGGTCTCCTGCATTGCAGGCAGATTCTTTAC